TTTTAAACAGTTCCACCTAAACACAATAATATTTAGAACCGATGATCTGATCTTCTGGACACTTGATGAAAAGTTCTGATCCGACCGTTGGGATCATGTGCCCGCACCGTCCAGCTCTCTGGCCCGTGACATCATCACGGGCCACGGTGACATCATCAAAGGCCGTAGTTCCTGGACTGACACGAGGACAGAACTTCTATTTCCTGACAGAATTCCTGCCCCCCGTTCAGACAGGTGGGGGGTGAGGGCGTGGGGGTGTCATTATTGTGAGTGCAGCTACAGACTTCATTTCCCTGAATGAGCCTCTCAGGCTGGAGCTGCGTTTCCATCAACTGCTGCTCCAAACCCGCGGCTCTGATCCGTCACTTTTACGACTTTGTTTACACTGAGGTTCCACATGAACGTTCTCCGTTCTCTCCGACTTCCGTTTCATGTTGTCACAGCTGAACGTCGTATCTTCTGGGATTCACTTCGTTAAAAAAAACCATCCACCATGTACTGCCAGAACCTGTTCATTTTAGATCAAGACCCCAGACCTCCGCCCAGAGACACTCAACAGTTCCAGCCCCGAGAACTCAGCAGGAGAGCAGAGAGTCAAGCTGTAACAGCCGGGACGATGGTGGGGGGGGAAGGGGGGGGTAATAATGTTATTTCATTTTACACACACACAGGAAGAACAGCAGTCAGAGCTGAGAATTGACCCACTGACCTTCTTACTGTAAGGCAATTTTAAAGAAAAATAAATGAAAAACTAATCCCAGACCTGATTGGCCCTCGGCCCACAACAGAGTTAACGACACTCTACTCAGAACCAATCAATGATGAGCTGCCATTGGTCTGCTCAGCCTTCCATCAGCAGAGGGGGGGGGGGGGGGGGGGGGTCAGTGTGTCTGTCCAACAGGACCGGACATCCTGTTCACCGCGGGTTAATCTATGAGCTTCACAGACGCCGCACATGCTCAGTCAGTGTGGCGACCTTTGACCTGCAGGACTGAGGACCTGATTGGCTGAGGAGAGTCAGTTCAGAGGAGCAGGACGGAAGAGGCCGACTCTACAGTCGGACAGGAACGTTGTTGTTGGGAGACAACAGTCGTAGACAACAGTTAACAACTGACAGTTTGGTGTCAGTACTGTCTGTCTGTGTGTGTGTGTCTGTGTGTGTGTGTCTGTGTGTGTGTGACAGGTTGTAGCTAATTGAGCTGCTGCCTGCCTCCATGTACAAATGTCAGGTGTGTGTGTGTGTGTCACTTCAACAGCTCGTTAGTTGGGACACACACACACACACACACACCCTTGTTACCAGATCAATCACTCTGAGTCCCCCCCCCCCCCCCCCCCCCCCCCACTGACAGACACAGCAGGGTCTTCACCGACACCCAGGGTGGTCTCAGGGTGTGGGTGGGGTCAGAGAACTGCCCCGTCAGTGTGGTCTGCCCCAGGACCAGGGGTAAATCAGTGTTTTCATTTTGTTGTCTCTGATTTTCCACATCAGACGAGGAGAGGCAGTAAAATAAAACCACGTGAGCAGCAGACGAGCCTCGCCATGGCAACGCCATCGACCAGAGCTGCAGGAAATCGATCTGTCAGTGTGAACACTTCAGCAGCTACAGCGTCCTGAGAAGACAATCAGAAGAACTACAGCCGCTGCTGGACGCACGACACACCCTCACCTCTGGGGGGCGTGGGGGGGTGAGGTCATCAACTGATGCTTTTAAAGCAGTTGAGGTGGGGGGGCAGGGAGGGGGGGCCGACCAACCTGTCTCAAACAGCCACCAGGCCACAGACCAGAACCAAGTCCTGGGTCACATGGTTCTGGGTCACATGGTTCTGGGTCACATGGTTCTGGGTCACATGGTTCTGAGTCACATGGTTCTGGGTCACATGGTTCTGAGTATCAGAGAAAGACGTTTTATTTTGAAACTCACCGACAGCTGTGAAGAGTTCTGTGAAAGGTGAAAAGGTCACAGAGGAAGAGCAGCCTTCAAAATAAAGTTCCATTTACAGAACAGTTCCACGTCTCTGGTCCAGGACCATGGACAGAGGACGCAGCAGCGCTCTTGGTGGGTGGACTGAGTTACTGCACTTCACTTTTGTTCACAATTAAATTTCCATAATATTTTATATATAGTTGTTGTTGTTCATACAGCTGGGGGGGGGGGGGGGGGGGCCCCCCCCCCCCCCCCTCCATCACCCAGATAAATCATGACCTCAGTCACCAACACCGTCTCAAACCAACAGTTTCCTCCTCAACATCACTCACTCAGATGGGGGAGGTGGGGGGAGGGGGGGTGTTTCATCCAAGGCCACACTGATACATCTAGAAAATAAACCTTCGACCTTCTGCCTGAAAGATAACCTGA